TCATCCACAGAAACTCTGAATTTGATAGACTAAGTTGATATAATTGGGTACAAATAGTACTGCTTGGTGATAAGTAAATTTATGAAAAGAATCTCTTAGCTTACTGTGATCACTACAATAAAATCTAACACATTTAGGTCATTATTTTCATTAGAAAGATTGAAATGACTTTTAAAAGTTGTACGGGGTAATAGAAAAGTCAGTGGAAAATATGGAATTTTAGGCATATTTAGTTAGAATGTAAAATTGCATAAGTATTTTTAAAAATAGGAATGTTTTTTAACTGAAGTGGGTAACATAGTTTAACTGTATATGTCCTTTGACCTCCAGTTATACTTCTAGAAAACCATACTGAAAAATAGAAATCAAATGTACAAAGACTGACATTCAAAGAGGTTTACTGCTTATAATTTGGCAGTTATGAGATATCAATAAATATCTACTGGTATGCTAAGTATAGGTTATTTAAATCTAATTTATCTATGAAATATTTTAAATAGAACATAAACAATGTACACAAATTCACATTCAATCCAGGGATAAACGAAAATTAAAGTGTGTGTTAAAGATTTATATTTACATATTAATATATGGAATTAATTAAATATTAGCTATAAGTAAAGTAGTTAAACTCTGTATTGGCAGTGACCTGAGAATCAATAAAGACAAACTGCACTTTCTATACCACTGACTCCTGAAATTTTTTATAGCAAGTATATGTTAATTTAAGCAAAATAATGAGAATAATTTTCACATTGCTTGGAAAAAAAATATTTATTGTAAAACATAAATTTAAACCATTGAAGAATGATAATGATCAAGTGTGTGTGAGCTATGTGTTTGTGTGTGTGTGTGTGTATGTGTGTGTGTGTGTATCACATAAACACCACAGTAAGAAAGAGAAATACATAGACGCTGAAGGCTCTGCTGTAATTAAAGCAGGGTATGAACAACACTGATAAATGTTGGAAACAAAATGAATTCATTCCTTGTTTGAGTTGTAACATTTATCTCTTTTCATTTAGCCTCTACCGGGACTGTTAGAATGATAAGCTGTTGTTTTTTATTTGCAGCAAGCTTCACCTCATAGGCACTTAACAAAAGTCTAAAAAATTAATAGATCATTTTTAGTTTTGAGTTTAAGAAAGGTCACATTTTGAGCCATGTCTTAAAACTGGACTGAGAATATATAAACTTAAGTTGAGATGAAGATTTTAGACTCAACATTAAATTTTGGGTGAGTTGATTGATGCTGGAGTCATAAGAATCCCAGCCCTGTAGCAAAGTCTGAGGATAGTGAGAGAATAGAAGAATAAATATGGGTATATTTAAAAAGAAGAGGAGGAGGAGAAGAAGGAGGGTGTCAATCAATTCTATTTATATTAAAAGGAAGACATGGTAGGTTAACAGCTAAATAAAACATTTAAAAAGAAAATTATTTAATTTAATCAATTAATGTATCATACAATAAAAACTTGGAGCATGAACACCATGTTTTGTAAGAAGATCACTGTTATAATTTAAAAGTTTCTCTAAGATTTGAATAACTTTTAAAAAGTAGGATATTACACCAGAACAACCATTCTCTCTTCATGGAAAACTTTTATGTTTATGAATAATTTTTCATTGCATATCCAATTTCTTCTTGTACCACTTTTTCTAATATGTAAATTGAAGGGACTATTTTTCCCACTTCAATTAATGTTGAGTGCATGATCTTAATGATGTTTATTATATTCTTTATTTATCTCTTGAAATTCCGTGAAATGTAGCAGCATAGTTTTTATTTTTCCTGATGTTCATATCTGAAATAAGATGTTAAGCGATTAATTTTGTATGAATCAATCATTGTAGTTAATCACTTCATAGAATAATTTTTTGTGGTTTTTGTTTTTGTTTTTTCTGTTTTGTTTTTCTGTGTTTGTTTTTAGTTTTGTTTTTTGTTTTGTTTTTGCAGTATGTGGAATACAATCCATGATCACTTTTTTTATTACTTTTTTATCACTATTTAATTCACTGAGCAAACTAATAAAGAAAGATGCTGGACATCATGAGCAAAAGAAAGTAAAAGAAGTATACAACACATCATCATGTTTTATGTAACAGAGATAACTTATGTAAGAATAAGGAAACTAAATTCTGGCAAACCAAAACCTTCTTAAAATTAAAATCTCCTCAGAAGCATTAATTAATTAGTCAACACTTGTTTAGTCTTTTACCAGATTCTTTTGAATCTTGATTCTAAGTATCTTTCTAACAGCCACATATACACTTATTTAATAGTGCCAGGCAAGTGCCAGGCAAATTATAGAGTTTGACATTATGTGGTCAAAGAACACACCATCAGACTCTCCACAAAAATGAAAACTCATTCAGATTATGCTCTTAATTATCAGCATTGACTCAGAAATAGCTGAGTGACTTCTCTCCATGTGCATGTGTGTCTTTTATAAGTTGTCTTCATAATCAGGCACTCATAGGCCAATGCAGAAGCAACCTCACAAACATGTCCTGTATATGAGATTTAAAAGAAAGGAAATTAGTTCTACAACGTAGCTATACACGCATCACAGAAAAAAGAAAAACACTAATAGATATTTGGTTGTTGTTGTTGCTGCTGCTGCTGCTGTTGTTTCAACAAATGTTGATACTATCGCCAGAATTTATAAGGCTTTTTAATTTCAATTCTTGTTTTAGTATGCCTTAAGAAATGCCACAAAAATTAGAAATTATTTTACAGATGGGTAGTAACATTTCTTTCTAAGAAACCTGGCCTGTTTCAGATGCTACCCAGTCAGTGTATAATTGTCTTATATTTGACGTCTGGCCATGAGGAAACCCCTAAATTCTGTTCTGACTCCCTCCTCTGTGCACTGTTTATCTTGCTGTAACATAGTCAGAATCACTAGGCCAATAGAAACTTGGAAGTGATTCCTGGGCCATGCCACATGGACCTGATAATATTTGTGTAGGTGTTAGCCAAATGGAATAAAATGCATTGAATTATCTAAAATAATTATTAACTTGTGATTCATGTATGTTCTCTGTTCATGTGTCTCTGTGCATATAAGTAGGGTATAAACAAACATATATGTATAAGTCACATATATATGACAACACAGAGACAAGAAGGGACAATGTGTGTTCTCTTCCATAACTTCCTTTCCAAAAGGGTCTCCTCTTGAATGTGGGAATCCCGTGTTCTTGCCTAGGCTGCAATTTAAGCAACCAAGCAATTCTTGTGTATCTGACTCCTCAGCTCTGGGGTTATAGCTGTGTGTAGAACACTAAGTTTCTTATATCAGAGTTTGAATACAAAGTCCAGTCTTTATGGTTGTACATAACAGCTGTCCAGTTAACCACCTCCATCACAGAACTTTAGAAAGGAATAATGAGCAGTGTGTAAAATAAACAAAAATCATCAGAATTAATGAAGAAGATGATATCCAATTTTACTTCTTGACTTACTTTCTAGGTGGTAGTAGATAGAGAAATAGTAGTAAGCATTTAAAATATAAGCATTTAATATATATACCTTATTCTAAAGACCAGCAAGTGCTTGCTAAACCTACTCAAGGTTCTTACAATGCTGCCACTTAACATTTGTCTGGAATTACACCTCACTGTGTTATAAGGCTCCCCATGACTTGCAAAAGTGTAGCTTAATAGTAGACTTAATCTCTTATTTTTAACAAAATTTCAATAATTTGATTTTTCCAGTGAAGACTTCAGAGCCAGATGCTAGGGTAGGCCTGCTAGGTCAAAGAGGTAGAGAAACATCAAGCTGACCTTCCTCTAGAGACAACATCCCAAAAGGAAGTTTTCATTCTCTAAGCTCTCTCAGGAACTCCTCAAACTGAACGTTCCTCCCTTCTACTTCCTGTGGATTTCTCTATCTGTCCTCTTGACTTCCTCTTACCCTCTTTTTTGTTGTTTGTTTGCTTGTAGATTTTTCCTATTTTCAGCCCCTATCAATGGTTGCTCGATCCATCTCTTGACATATGGTTGACAATATTTAATTTTGTTTCTAGTAAACAGAAAGCTCCTGGATTAAAGATGTGAGCTGTGGCTGAGCTATACCACTACAAATAAGTTTTTCCATTGAACAATGCAGTGTCCAGGTTGACAAGTGTGATCAAATATCCTGCAACAATCCCTTGTAGATTTTCTCGTACCATGTAGTTCCATGACAAAGTAGAAACAGAATGATCTACAGAGAATGTCAGTTACCCATCTTGTAGTAAAGCTTCCAATGCAGAAATGATTATAGATGACAAGATAATTCTAGATGCTCATTTACATAAATATTTCCAAAACCCTGATTTCACCAGTTCTCCAAATACATCTGCTATCTGTCCAACCAAACAGCACATGAGTTCATGGATATTCTTTCCTAACAGCATGTCACTTGGACAATATGGGTAAAACATTCTTGGTTTTAAGATTTGCTGACCAGGAAGATGTACTCACCTGCATCGTAAGGTGCCACACTTATTATGATTCTGATGCCATGAAGTGCAGCTTTAAATCTTTTACTGTATTGTATAAAAAGAATTGATTCTACTTTAGTCAATAAGAAGGTACACATAAAACTGAAGAATAAAGAAGAAACATTTTAATATAAGTATTATAACATTCAAACTTAAATCTATGTCTTCCTTTCAACTCTGTTGCACATCTCCACTATATAAGCTTTCTCTATAAAATTAAAAATGATGTCAATTTCAAGCAGTTTGTTTTATATAATACTAATAGAACTTAAATGATTCATATTTTTCCTTGTTTTCCTAATAAATCTGTATTCTTCCACAGAGAATCAGGAGGATATTTGTATATACACAGCTGTGATGCCAATGCACCATTCATTTTTAAGTTATTGAGTAATTATTTCATTATTTACACTCCAATTGTTGCCCCCTCCAGATCACCCCTCTCAGAGTTATTCCCCCATTCTCCCTCCCCTTTGTCTCTGAGAGAGTACACCTCCTGTGTATCCCCCCTCTCTGGGGCACAAAGTCTCTACAAAATTATTCATAGCCTCTCCCACAGAGGTCAGAAAAGGCAGTCTTCTACATACGTGCCTGGGGCCTCAGTTCAGCCCCTGTATGCTCTTGATTAGTGTCTGGGATTAGCTCCCACGGGTCTACATTAGTTGAAACTGTTGGTCTTCCAATGGGGTTGCTATCCCTTTCTGATTCTTCAGTCTTTCCCCCAAGGCTTCCACATGGGTCTGTCTCAGCATATGTCTCAGTCAGTTGCTGGTAGAGCCTCTCAAAGGAAAATCATGTCAGGTTCCTGTCCACAAGCACAACACAGCATCAATAATAGTATCAGGGGTTGGTGTCCACCCATGAGATAGATTGAAAGTTAAGCCTGTCACTGGCCAGCCCTTTGCTTCAGTCTCTGCTCCATTTTTGTATCTGTGTTTCCTTTGAACAGGAACAATCTGGGATCAAAAAATTTGAAAGTGGGTTGGTGTCCCCACCCCCTCCACTGGGGCCTTGCTTTAACTGTTGGAGGTAGTCTCTTCAGGTACCACATCCCCACTGTTGGGCGTTTCAGTTAAAGTCATTCACACTGGGTCCTTGGAGCCTACTCATCCCAGTTCACTGGGACATTTTAGTAATTCCCATCACCCACCCTGGCAGCCCATGTTTGCATTCCTTCTCTAAGCTCTCTGGGCTTCTATCTTCCCTTGCCCCATACTTGATCCTGCCTTCCGCGCTTTCTTCTTCCCTCTGTCTCCTGTAATTTTAATTTTTTCAATGTTTTACTTTTAATGATGGTTCTTGAACAATTTAAGCTCTCCTTCAGTCCATCACCTACCAGAGGTAGTAGAAAAGAAAGGATATGGGGGAAGTGGACCTGTTTAGAAGGATTCTGTGAAGCAACTCCCATTGTTGTTGTCTGGAAATCAGCAGCTCGGTTCACAGGTTATCAATTGCAGCTCAATCCTCTAGCAAATACTTCACAAATACATCAGCAGTCCAGTTTGGTAGAGTCGGGTTAGCAATAGCAGTCACACCACCTAGCAAAAATAGCCAGGCCTCAGCCTCAGCACAAATCAGGAAAAGGGACCAGGAGGGAAGTCAGGAGAATTCTTGACTGTGCCTCTCTCAGTGAATCAAAGATCAGTGAAGATGCAAGACCCACAGGCAGGCCTTACACAGCTAGCTTTAAAGTCGAGCCTAGCTCAGCCTCTGTCACTGTTCATTGAGTCCTATTTATACCCTCCAAACATCATGTGTCCTCCATGGGTCTTGCCTCAGCACATGCACCTGTCTCAGCTGACATCACTCTACCAATCAGCCCAAGTCTGCAGAAGTGGCAAGAAACTGCAGCATACCAGCAGAAGATTTTTGGTCTATTTCTCTCTCTGTGGAGTCCTGACAAATGCAGCTCAACTATGCAATGCAAGGTGGACCAATACATGCATGTTGTTAGCAAAGAATACTTCATCATGTGTCCTTTCATGTGCTTGGTTTGTCAGAACATCCTTTCACCTCTGTCTGCTTCAGTCAAATGTTCCTTCACAAGTTGGCCTCACCTTTCATCGGTATCCATTTCAACTAAACATTGCTACATGTTTTTGCCCCAGCAAAATACCAGCCAACAGACTTTCCGAAGAACACTTAAGTTTCCACTTCAGCCTCCCTTGATTATTTTGTTCCCCCTTCTAAGTGGGATTTAAGTATCCTCACTTGGGCCTATCAGATATTAGATTGGCGAAGATCTTTTCCCAATCTGTAAATTGCCATTTTGTCCTATTGACAGTGTCCTTTGTTTCACAGAAGGTTTTCAGTTTCCAGAGGTCCCATTTATCAATTGTTGATCTTAGAGCCCGAGTCATTGGTATTCTGTTCAGGAAATTTGTCTATATTCCAAAGCACTTGAAGCTATTCCCCACTTTCTCTTCTATTAACTTCAGTGTATCTGGTTTTATGTTGAGGCCTTTGATCCACTTGGACTTGAACTTTGTGCAAGGGTTATATATATATGAATCAATTTGCATTTTTTCTACATCAAGACTGCCAGTTAGACCAGCATCATTTGTTGAAGATGTTTTCTTAGTCATAGTGTTTGGCCTCCAGTTTCAAGAAGTATAGGTGAGGGAATGAAGCAGAAATACCTAGCTCTCTGGTTTAGAAGATTAATTAGCTTTATGTTAAAGTATTATTTAACATTTCCTTTAACATTTTACCAACCTAAAATCTGTCTCAACTGTGGAATCTCTCATTTCTAAAGTGAGTAGTAGATTTTTACATTATATTTAAGGTGTAGTAACTTTAAATATGTATACTTTGCTTTTTTTTCATTACTGTGATTAAAAATCCATACACAGAGTATACATGCATATAGTCAAACAACACCAAAGTCATCCATCTGACTTCATGAGTCAAAATTAATTTCCCCTCCTTTATTATTATTTTATTTCATTTTAGAATGAGGACATAAGCCCATTGGCATGTGCCTGTAATGCCTATCAATAGGAGCCTGAGAGGGGAGAAGCAAGAATTTGGCAATAGTAAGCACACCACTTCAATGATGGCTTCATGATATTCACAATCTGAATATTGAAATGCATCTGAACCTGGAAAAAATACTTGGTAACTTTTTGGGAGCAGGAAGCCCTAGAACTCTCTTCTCAAAGATTCAAATGAGTTCACATATTCATCTCTGTTTGTTTGTGATAAGACCCCTATGTCCAATCCTGAACTGGCCTTATGTCTTCTCTATTGTGATTATAAGTAGCAGATTTGGTTTAAGAAATACTAACCTCTTTAGCAGCCAGGACATTCTATCCAACATTTAGAAACTGGACCTCCCATTCAACTTTAATTCTGTCCCTTTTCTGGTCAAACCACATGCTGTTCACATCTTTCCATTCTGCTGTTTACTTCCAATTCTTACTATAAACTCACTGAAAAGCAATCATCAAGAACCCACCACAGCACGATCGCTACAAAGTCTTGCTTATTTTTTATTTGTTTTGTTTTGCTAAATTTATTTAGCCTCTTGCTTTTTAATTCTGCTTCATTCAAACTCTATGGGTATGAGTTAAATGTAGACAAATTATTTACCAGACTGTAACATCAGTGAGCTGCCCAACGGTATCCAGTATGGATTTTGTTTCTATGTGTAACTTCATGATCTGTGCCCTCATTGTCCACATCCCTATTTGAGCTCTTCTCAGGTTCCACTAGAGTTGTTGGTCAAGCTTAGCTTCCAACATTGTAGACTATCTCCAGACAGTGCTACTAAACATTTCTTTATTGCTACAAACCAAAGGCTTATGCTTATATGTTCTGCATTAGCAACAATTGCAGTTCTCTGACAACAAGGTTTTCCCTACCTATACTAATCATGTTGTGAGTAAATACTTACCAAGGGCAAGTACGAAATTAAAACTGTGTTTTAGGTCATGGTCACACAGGATTCAGTGCATGGGTTCTCGTTCTCTGTGTGTTTAATCAGAATACCAGAATAGCAGAGCATTCATGGTATAAATTTCAAATGCAGGTACTACTTGATTCACACAGGAGTTAAACTTCATCAAATCCATTTCTCAGGTTGCAAATATCATAAATTGAAATTTCATTTAAAGTACCTATTCTAATGAACGTCATAGCTTAGTCTCACTAACTTGTATAGATCACTTACAGTAGACATTCATTTAACTCAAAGTTTATTGTTTAGTTATGAGTTGAATATCTCATGTAATCCTTCAAGACTATACTGAAGGTGAATTGTGGAAAGATTTTGTAGAGTCTCATCATAAACATGTAGTTAATGTTCATCAAAGAGTACCTTCTATGCATATAACCTTTACAACATAATTAAATGTATAAGCCAAAGTTGAAATATCACACATTAAGGATCATGTATGAGATAATCATGAATAAATTCCATACTTTTTAATTGCTAGCAAGAGTATTACTGTTATAAAATTAACGTAACCTAAAATTAGCTTTTTCCAACATAGTAAAAAATTCCCTCAGGTTCAATTTCTACATGTGTCTCTCATTATACTCCCTACTTCACATAACATTAGCAATAGTCTGACATCTCTTGCCATGTGAGCTTCTCTACCAAGATTGACTAAGTGCTGGTCTCCTACACATATTGGAATAGGATTCTAATTATAGGTCTGGAGATAATGAGGAGTGATGGAAAAGGGACAAGAGGAAAATTAACTTCCTCTTGAAAGATAAACTTCCCTGACAAGATGCCAACGGTGTCTTTTCAAACACGATAAGAAAAGTATTATCAGATACAGTGAGAGCTATGAGAGAGAGTTGAGTCAGATATTTGCAAGATCCTTCTGCACTATCACACTGAGGATCCAAATTATTCCACATATTTTAATTCACCACTTTATCTAAACCACAAAGCCGGAATGTACCGAATTTTAAAATCTACATTTCGCCTCCTGACATCACCAAATTTAGTCCAGTCCTTTATACAGAAAGAGTTTATGAAGTTCCCAAGGACCCCAAAGTCTTTTATACTTTTCAAGGTAGGCAAAAATACCTGTTATTAAGATGTTTAAAGCTTTATGATTTATTCTATAACATTAAATCTGATTTCAAAATAATACAATTAGATTTTAAAAGAGACTTGAACAAGCCATTGCACTGATCTGAATTATAAAGTAAAACATAAAAGTGAAATGAAAGTACATCAAAGTGGCCACTTTAGCAGTAATGGTCGGGATTGGTCCATCTTGGCATTTTCTAAGAAATATAGTAATATAGTTCACAATAGTAATGGGTAAATGGAAAAATAATGACATAATTTTCTCAATAACATTTAGCAACTTATCTCAGTTAAAAAGTTAGAATATTTGAACAGAACCAACATTCAAAAGTTAATATAGGCTACGCACCTGAGAAACTCAGCAAACATGATTAATCACATACTTTTAAATTCATGACCAAGAGTAGTTACTTTTGTCTCAAAGTTCCTATCTACCAGAATACCACAGGAAAAATAAAGTAGATACACACATGAATATGTATAAGAGTCAAACTATAACTAATTACAATAGGCAGGCATTTGCACGTAGAAGAAGTAATGCTATCCAGTTTTAGATCATCATCACCAGTAAGGAGCATTGCCTAGGGAGATTCACTAGTCCTCATTTGTAGATTCATATGGATGAGCTTGAAATTTATTGTGACCTACTTCTCCATGAAGCAGATTTAATATATTAAACTTCCCTTCCCACTTGTGGGTCTCTTCTATTGGCTCTTGTCCTTCATTGTGGATGTGCCTCCTCTCAAGAAAAACATGTTTTTCTTGCAATTTCAGATTTCAGTACCCAGTGAGGCACAATTCCTGCTGATACCCCCTCTGCTCAGGACAGGGAGATAGTTTAAAGACAGCACTCATTCAAGAAGAACAGACAGCTTAATGATGGCCTTAGGTTGAAAATGTTTTTTAAAAGTTAAAACTCAGTAAAGGTGAGTTGTAAAAACAAAATCTCTTTGTGGTTATTGGGATCACAAGCCTGATAAATTAGAATTGTTTTATTTTTATGCCCTAGTGTCAAATATTTTAAATACTGTCATCAGAAATATTCTTAGAATTCTAAAATATTCTAAGAATATCGTATTTCAATAAGATGAAATAATAAATGAGAAATGCATAGAATGTTAATACTTAACATACTTAGCATGAAAACTGATGCATAATACATAATATATAATATATAATACATAAAACATAATAGAAAATATATTTGACCCTATAATTTTTAGACTATAAAGAATAAAATTAATATATTTAACTTGTATATGAGAAATACCACAATGTCTCATTGACAATGTAAGTCAGCGTAAAAGCTCAGGTGTGAAAGCCTTAGATTGAATCTCAAATACCAGACCATACACGATTGCAAGTACCAAGACACCCTCACTACAAACAACAACAACAGCAACAATAACAACAGCCAAAAAAACAGAGTTTCAGGTACATGGGTATGATAGTTCTAGATGAGAAAGACAGAGACAAAAGTTTGAGATATAAAACAGCAAATGTGTTATAAAATTACTGTAAACACAGCAGCAGATCTTTGAGAAAAAGAGAAACTAGAACACAACAAGGTGATCACACAGAGTACCTCACTCACAGGTGGGCACAGTAGATGACATGCATACCATTTGTATAGGTGGAACGACAAAACTGCACAGAAAATGCAGAAGTAGACAGAGGAGCCCTCCTCTACTAAACAATTAACTACCAGTTATCAAACAGCGACATAAAAAACTTACTGAGAACAAAGGCAACATGGGAATTTTTTTTTTTCATTAAGATGTAGTGGGAAAAGAGACAATTGAACATAGGTGAAAGCATATGGCTACTGAGAACTCTAGATGACTCTTGCCACCACCCTAACCATCCATGGAAGATACATGGTAGTAGAAAAGAAACTTTCGTGCAAATTGTCCTTGAATATCTAGATGTTTAGCATGCAAATTGAGTACACAAATGCACAAAGACACATAAACATAAAGACACACGTACACAGATAAGAACACCTGCTTGAGTAAAAGGAAATGGTTCAAATAATTATAACCAAATGTTAATATCAATAATATAGCATGCAACTAACTTCTTCAATTATAAAGACAAGAACTATTCATTCAAGTGGTTACAAATGAAGGACAAAATATAGTAGTAACAAAGTGTATGTATATTAACACACTAAATTATATTAAATTATTGATAAAAATATAAAATAACCTTAAATCAATCATTATTTATGAAAGTGTCAAAGACTCAAAGCCTTTACATCTGTTTGGCAGATAGTAAGAGAGCCAACATTCCCATTATTTCTGGTTGATTCTTATGTTGAAGAGGATTTCAATGTGATATTGGAAGGGATTCTGATTCCTCATAATTTTAAATTTGCTAATCCTCACACAATAATTACATTTGAAAAAAATGTAAAAAAGAAAACAACTGGTATTTGCACATGAAAATATCAATTCAAGGCTATTCACTGTAGTATCATTTGCAATGTTTTAGAAAGGTTTGCTATATAATTGCAAAAATTGAATATAAGATTAATTATGTAAAGCCTAATTTCTATGGAATATTATGCAACAATTATAGGAGAAGAGATAACTATTAATGATTTCATGAAAGATCATTGTGGAAAATAGAATTGATAGGGAAAACAGAGTTGAATATTACATCATTACTCTGTAGACTAGACAAGTGTTTGTTTTGTTATGTTACAGAGTCACACAAAGTACACCATGCTAGGATTAAACTTCTACTTATCTCAGCCTTTAGAGTCTTTGGACTATGTTATGGACTACTTGCCTTCTCTCGGTGTTTCAAAGACATTAAGTACTTAAATATTTCTTTTATAATACTTTACCAAATTAAAAGGACATAGCTAAGCAGAATGCTGATAGATGCTACTATTGATCCAGTTTATGCAATTACGTGTGTTTCAGTTACCAACATTCATCAAAGAGCCTTAATTCCATACATGTTTTAATTGGTCCACTGCTAACATATGAACCATAGGGTATTGATCTTAACATACATTCTAAACTTCAGAAGCTCATAATAAAAGACATAAAGTATTCATCTCTCAGCCATGTACTTCAAGTCTCCAGAAGGCCAATTGTCTTCTTTCTAATTCTTTGTTAAGAATAAACAATGGAGGCCATGGTAGTGACAAGTAGTCAATAATTTAAAAGTGCAGTTAAATAGAATGAGAGATGAGAGTAACCTTTTATTAAAATAGCAAGTGATCATTTTGTATCTTATGTTCCATCCATTCTCTTGAGATTTTAAGTTTCTATTAAGCTTTGATATTGAATCTGTATACTGTTGTTAAGTTATGAGTTAGCTTGCCATTATAGTCACAACATATCTGAGATAATCAACCAACAAGAGAAAATTTACCCTAGCTCCAATTTGGAGGTTTGAGTCATAACAGGCTTGCTCCCTTGCTTTTGAGCCTGTGGTGAAACAACACATTATCAGGGGGGAGGGGAGAGGGGAGAGGGG